TTTTAATAAATAATTATTTTTGTACATTATATACAAGTATGACCAAATATTTGACCTATTTTCGACCGAAATCGGTCGAAAATTTGCAAAACTTTTAATAAATAATTATGTTTGTACATTATATACACGCATGACCAAATATTTGACCAATTTCCGACCGAAATCGGTCGGAAAGTTGGAAAATTTTTAATAAATACCAAATATTTGACCAATTTTCGACCGAAATCGTCGGAAATTTGGAAAACTTTTAATAAATAATTATTTTTGTACGTTTTATACAATTATGACTAAATATTTGACCCATTTCCGACCGAATTCGGTCGGAAATTTGGAAAAGTTTTAATAAATAATTATTTTTGTACATTATATACAAGTATGACCAAATATTTGACCAATTTCCGACCGAAATCGGTCGGAATTGTTATTTTTTTTTTGTCAGAAAATTTTTGTTGACTTTTGCGACCAAATACTCTTATTTCCGACCGATTTCGGTCGAAAAGTCTTGGACGGAAATCACCTGATTTCTAGTAGTGAAACTAAGCCATTTACCTTTTGTGTGGTAATAGCATATCGAAATAAAAGGCCACACATATTCACCATTAGTAGACAGCAGATAGTATGGAATTTCAAGATGTTGAGTATTTTTATATTAATATTTAATCAAGGTTATGTGCAAAATATATGGTCATTTAGTCAGCCTGCTAGCCACTCTTCCATGCCTTCGTCTGATTTCACTCTATCTTCATCTCCCAATATTTCTAGGCTAGATATTGGAGTCGATGGTAATTCGACATCCCTATACATCGATAGTGATACAGTTACACAGCCTCCTACACAGACTTCTACACGAAGGCAGGATCCTCTAAATGTTGGAAAATATGATGATCTTCGGAGGTTGATTATTGTGCCAGATGGAGCAGGGTAAATATTCATCTTATTAATTTATAACTAATTCTAAGTGTAATTTCTAACTTGTTTTAAATTCAATGCAGCTTTTATCCTCCTCAGGTTATGAAAGCCATGGTTGAATCGATGTGTTCATTTTATCACGCACCATAGAGGTTTTGGTCAGATGTTCCAAGTCACATTAGGGACATAATGTTTGATGAATTTAGGGTAAAATTAATATTTTGTTTTAGTTTTCAACTCGCTATATTCATTCTAACATGTTTTATTTGCAGATGAAGTGTGCATGATCACGCGATTTTGAAGCTGAGATATGAGTCGTTTTCTTTAAGAAATGTTCTGATAGGTTATCTGATATGCTTCGGACTGCTCGAGAAAGTAAAAATAGGCCAAGTTGGATTTTTGATGATTTATGGGTTAAACTTCTTGAGTATTAGAACTCTCCGAAATTTGAGAAGAAGAGCAAACAGGGAAGGGAAGCTCGTTTGTCCAACAAGGGTGGCTCGGTGCACACTGGCGACTCATCGAAGAAGATTGGTAATGCGTTTTTTATATTTTTCTTGATTTATAACTATTTTAGTTACCATTTTTAACATATTATTTATTTTTGCAGGAAAAGGTTAAAGGAAGACCAGTTACTCATGATGAGGTGTTTGAGGAAACCCACATGAAGAGGTTAAAGGATGGAACAAAAATAACTTGAATTGAGCCGCGCGCTGAGATAACCCATGTAAGATTAACAACATTCTTCACATATATGAATATCAAAAATAGATTTCTGCTCATGGCATTCCGAAATGCTATAAAATGCTTTATCATATGCTTGGTTTTTAAGATGAGTTTGCACTTATTAGTGCAGTGAGCTTATATTGTATAATGTATGCTTTGGATATTATTTCTTAGGCATATAGATGGGGCCAAATAAATCTTATTCAACATGGTTAGTGTTGGACTTTCTCCCAGTTATTACTCATATTCATGGCTTGTGGATGTTTACTGCCACCAGAATAATGATAGTTGTCTCATTGAGAGATGAGTTTATAAGAAGAGGTTATCTTGTTGACATATCCTTTTATAGGGCAGTAGTAAGGAGATTGTGCAAGAGAGGTAGAATTGATAGTGCTGAAAAAGTTTTTCACATTATGCAAACAAATGGAGTGCTTGGGGATAGTCTAGTATATGCTACTCTTGTATATGTTTACTCTAAAGTGGGGAAGCTTGACGCTGCTTCATATTTGTTAGACGAGATGTACAGAAGAAGGCTAGTGATAACTCTCAAAATCTACAAAAGTTTTAATGCTTCTTACTCTGATGAGAATAGCCTTTTAGATATGTTTTGGAGTAATGTGGTGCAAAGAGGTCTGATTTCAAGAACTGTTTACAATGACATCCAGCAATTAAAGATACAGTCTTAGAAACAAATTGGCTGTAAAAGCCTTTGATTCTTGAGAGATGGTTATAGTAGCTGGATGGTGTGACATAAGCATCGACACTCTATGTTGTTTGTTATGATTCTAATTGTTATGACGAGAGCACACACTGACAATTTCTCTCTATTATAAACTTGTGATTCCAGGCTAGAACTATTTATGAAAAAGTCTGCATATTTCTTAGTTTCTGCATGTCCAATTATTGGTCCGGAAAGCACAAGAAATAAAGGAATTATTGGCTGAAATGCCATGTGAAAAGGTTGGTGAACAAACGACAATGATTAAGTCCAGCTAAGCTGCTACGCTGTTTATCTTTCCGTGTGTTTTACTTTAAAGTTAGAGAAATAAAGATACATACTTGCATAAATTTTCTTTAATAAAATTTACTTTTATAATAATTGTAATTTTTTTTATAGGATAATTTCAAACGAATCTTGGAGGAGTTCATTCAAAGTCAGTCGATTGATGATTAAGGTAGGCCAATCCAACCAAACCAAGAGAAGATCATGGACATATGGATTAAGGCAGCTGGTGGCGTGCATAAGGGGAGAGTCTACGGCCTTGGATAAGAGTTTAGTCTCGGCTGTCGTACTTCTGGATTGTCTGGTTCTTATTCTTCGTCACATTGCTCGTTTGTTCTGGATGAGTTTGAGCAATTGAATAGGAAGGTAGCAAAGATTACGGAGTTGTATCTTCAAGAAAGGGCTGCAAGGTAAGAAGAAGCAAAGCGAAGGGAGGAAGAAGATAGGCGAAGAGAGGAAGAGGAAAGGAGAAGGGAGGAAGAAATGAGGCGAAAGGATAGTGCATTAAGACTTGTCACTAGTGATATTAAAAGTCTCAAGTCTTAGATAAACTCCCTCTTAGCATCTAGTGCATTTCCTGTGCCTCGTTCTCCAGTAGCATCTTATCATAACTAAGGAGTAATTTCTTTTATTAATTTGTCTTGGATGGTACTAGATATTAAATTTGAATGCTAGATTTTTTTGAGTTTTTGTTCGACTCTATGTTTTGTTGGATATTGTTTATGAAATGGATTGAATTAGATATTGTTTATGAAATGGATTGGATTAAATGTTGAATTTGGTATTTAAATGCTTAATTATATTTAGTCTTGTATTGGTGGTTGTACTTTCTGTTTGGCAAGTGGTGTAGTTCTAAAAACAGATTTTGTCATGAAAATATTTACCAGATTTCCCACGGATTTTCCACCAACTCCGTGGGAATTTTGCCCATATTTTTTCAAGAATTTCAATATTTCCCACTAATATTCGTGGGAATGTTTATAGATTTATTTTCAGGTTATGCATATTTCCCACTGCTTCCGTGGGTAAAATAAAAATTATTTTTATTACTTCCCACAGATTCGGTGGGAAACTTAGGAAAATTAAATTATTATATTTTCTTCCTTTTCCTACGTCGGTCGTGGGAAAATACACTGTGTGACCCTACAAAATTCTGGTGAAACCTTTTGTGGAAAACTTTCTGGGAATTACCCACGAATGTTCTGGGAAATTATTTTCCCACCAGCCATTTTTCCACGGAGCGCCTCCCCTGGGAATATCGTGGAAATATTCAAATTTCACACAGATTTTTCACCGATTCTTCCCTGGGAAAAGACTGAATTTCTAGTAGTGAACGTGATCTCTTCAACGTCCATGTCTTTGGATTAACGCTAAAAATTAGACCAAATTAACCTACATAAATGTGTGTTTAAGGAGAAACAACAAGTGCATGCAGAAATTGAATAATTGAAAGCAATAAAATGACGTGTGTGATATTCAGATGCATGATCTATATATTCTGTTTCATATACACCAAATGCACGACTAATCATTTGGAGATCACACATACTATGTTTTTTGGACCATATTGTGCATCAATAGAATAAGAACAATAATTTTTCATGTCTAATTTAAATGATATAAAGCACTTGATCACACATAAAATAAAGCCTTTATTCAAACATTACATGAAAGGAAAACCCTTTATTCAAACATAAATGAAAGGAAATAAAGCCACACACTTAAAATCTCATCTCAGCTCGCTCAAAACTCATACTCCTCGCGATCCAAGAAAAGCCAAGTTCCATCTTGTTGTTGAACCATCCCTTTGTGCTTCTCAACCCACCAAAGCCCAGGAATACAATGTTCATCTTTTAGTATATTCCCCATCTTGTTGACAAGCGAGATATTGCGATTCACTTCTAGTTTAAAACCTGCTAATATACTAATTCCTTGAGTACCAGCAACTCCATGCAAGTATGGCTCCAACAAATGCCAACTAACAATATCTCCAGGGGGCTTCACATATGGAGATTTTGTGGTGTCAATCATTAGCTCTTTCCCTACGTCTATATAGCCAATGGGTGGGTATTTCGGAACAATATCCAATACATTATGAATTCTCAAGATATGAAGATTATTCAGCTTGGAAAATGCCTTGTGAAAATTGAAATCCCCAACTTTAGGACTTGCGAATACAAAAGCTGTCACTGGAAATTCTTTGCCTTCGGTTGTTTTGTTGATTCCGTTGAAAGTTATGTCAACTGCATTTAAGGTTGCAAGTGATGCACCTAAGCTATGGCCAGTCACTGTTATGCTGACATCTTCATTCTTATATTCCTCAACCAATCTTTTCACTTCTTCAATTACCTAAAAGGAAAAAAACCGACGAAACAGTCACTATTTAGCTTCATGAAATCATGCAAGTAGTTCTTTCTCTTTCTAAAGTGTCTTTTTATAAAGAATAAGAACAAAGAAAATTTTAATTATGCTTTCTAAAATCTAAAAAGCTCTTTTAATTTACACAGACATAATATAATTAAGTAATTAAAAATATGCTCTTTTTAACATATTAAACTTTGAGATGAGATAATCACAGGTTTCAATAGTGAGGGCTAGAAAGATCCGGTCTTGTTTATGAAACTCAAATATTAGTATTAGAAGTTAATCTTATATTGAAAACGGAATACTAACTGAGAAGTAAGGAATTATATTCTTGTAACGTAAAGCATGGAAGTATTCTAAGCAAGTTAACATGTACCTGATCCCTGACACAAGTCTTATTAAACTGTGATCGTGAACTTTCTGATGTATAAATATTATAGAAGCCGTGATGCACCAAAGGTTGAAACAAAGGAAGCAAACCCCCATCACCAAAAACTTTGGGTGCTGGGACAAGTAGAAATTGAAAGTCATTCACCCATTCTAAGTTCTGCATTGTTCCTCTCCAATTAATCACAATATCCCTCCTTCCTAGTGAAACTTTACCTTCATCAGTAGCCACAGCAACATACCCCATAAAATTTGATTCTTTACTCCATGCTTCTCTTGACAATGATTTAACAACGAAAGCATCGGGAAGTGGAATGGATGAGGTAGCATAGAAAAATTTGGTTACACGATACTTGAGTGGATCAAGTCCAACCCCAGTAAAGAGATTCTCCATCGAGTATCTGCTAGCTCCTGCATATTTGGATGCTTTCTCTGTAATGAAAGTGTCGTAAGTTGCTTGAGCCAATTCTCCATATTGAATGATATATCTACGAAGATCAAGATCCAAGGGGTTTAATAGTCCTTCCCAATTATTTTTTCCACTGAGTTGCTCCCATTTCTCAGCCATGCAAGCCATTCTTTTTTTCTTCTTTTATGTTTGTTTTACTCTTTGTTTTCCCTTGGTATGTGAACAACATTATAAGCCCATGAATTTATAGTGAAGCAACTTCGTTTCTCTCTACTGTTTCTCATGCATGAAACGTACATGTTTCAATTTTAATTTTTTCTTGTCAACAAGGTCACTTATCTCTCAGTGCATGCCCATGCAATAATAATTGAAATGACCAAGCAATAGTGCTAATAATAATAACCATCTCCATTAATTCTAACTACCAAACCGTACCCTTCTGTCCCCATTAATGCAAACGTAACCGAGTTAAAACATACAACTTTCACATATTTATTCATATTTGATGCTTACCCATATTTTAATTTCTTGATGACTGCAGGTACCTATTTTTAGCACTAGCCAACAGCCCTAATATGATGCATATAGAGAAGATGACAAAATTAGTAGCTGATAGACTCGTCACGATATAGTATTCTTAAGAATTACCTTATTGTATTTTGATTATCCTCGTCCCTTCCCTTCGTGGAATCTGTTTTTGTACAAGAAAAAATAAGCAAATTTTGAAAACTTGACCAAACAAACTAATAAAGAGGTTTAAGTATCCTTACTAATAAGTGATGTATAATAGTATATTGTTTGCTTGAGTCGAAGTAAAAATTAGTATCAACCTGACTTGTCCCGATTTTGGTATGTGACCCAAGTTTCTCGAGCCAATTCTCCATATTGAATGATATAAATTTACGAAAATCAGGAGCCACGGGGTTTAATATCGTTTCCCAATTATTTTTCCCAGTATGTTGCTCCCATTTCTCAGCTATGCTAGCCACTAAAAAATAATCTCTTTGTTTTTTCTTACTCACTAATTTTGCCCATCTCCAAATGCCGATTCATAGTGAAGCAACTTTATTTTTTAGTGCTTTTCATGAAAGACGCCTTTGATTTTTTTTAAAGTGTTAATAAGGTCACCGTACCTCAGCGCCGTTAGACAATTCAACAAGTGTATAACAACCCTGCATATTAGAGTTGTTCCCGTATTTCTAAAGGGTTTAAATTCTTATTCAATTACAGTTTAAAAAGTATTTACGTTAAAAAGTTTGTCATTGTTAATTTATCCGGTTGTTAGTAAATTTTTCTGAGTTACAAATGCGGGAATGCATACCGTAGACAATAAATTTACGTCAAGAAAATAATCGAGACCGAAAATATTGTAACAATCGTAGTATTTGATTTCGAGTAATTTGAGTGTTACAATCTCTATGATATTCCTCCGATTCTCCTTTCCAACAGTAAATAAATTCAAAGGCCTTTGAGCTTGATCTTGAATCTATATTTGTTGCCACGAACGATGATCTTGAATTCAGCTAGCACGAACTTTGATTTGAACTCGTACTCCTTGAGTGTTGATTTGTTCTTCGTTCTTGAGCTTGCACTTGAATTCTTGAACTTGAACTTGATTGCTTGAAACTTGAAACTTGTGGAGGAATTTGCAGTGTTTGATCCACGAGCTCTTTCTTGCTTCTAGCTTGTTATAACTTCTAGTCTTTTTTTCTGGGTTATGAAGACCCCTATTTATAGTTGTGGGAGGGAAGAGTTATGATAAGAACAAGAAAAACTTACAGAAATGTCCCAAATAAGTCTCAACTTATCAACGGTTAACCATTAGTCATTGACTTATCAAAACTAGCCAAACACATAACCAAATAAATAAGTAAAAATAGCACGAGCTAGCCAGTTTTCGGACTGGTAATTCGAAAATAGTCAGTGTTTGCAAAGTCATTGAAAAATAGCCACTATTTTGCTGCAACACGGACCGGTCCAGCATAATATACTGGAGATCGATGCACATGTGTATGAACTTTCAGCATATTATGCTGGAACTCCAATACGCAGAAAGTTCCAGCATAATATACTGGAGATTGGAGTACTTGTGTATGAACTTCCAGCAAATTATGCTAGACCGGTATATTATACTGGAACTCCAGTATATTATGCTGGAATATTTTTCGGATTCTGAACAGTGTTTTCGTTCAGATTTATCTTTACATGAAAAGTGACTAAATTTCGATTACTTTTAAAACTGTGGCTATTTTTCAATTACCACTTGTAAATCTAGCTATTTTTGAATTTCTCCAATAAATAAGATTCTTTCTCTCAAAGATTCTCATGCAAAAATATTTTTAAGCATGATTAGCAACATTAGATGCAAGACGGGAATGAAATTTCATGGATGAGGTAACAAATAAAGTGATAATATATANAAAAGGGACCTTTTTCAATAGATATAGTTGAAATTCATTGAAAACATATAGATAAGTCAATATACAAAATTTGAGGAAGATTGGAGGTGATTTGGACTGGTTTGGTATCAAAATTCGCAATTAAATCGAGTTCAAAAAAATCCTTCTGCGACACATGTATCACGCATGTATCTCACACACAGGTATACATGGATATACATGTAATACACAATTGATACAAATATGATACTTATGTGATACACAAATGATACATAGTGTGATACACAAATGATACATAGTGTGATACACATATTATTTTTTTTCATGTTCATTTTTTACTTCGAATTTTTAATTCAAACGAGCTCAAAATACCACCAAATCATCTCAAAACTGAGATACATGCTCCTTAAGATGTACTCAATCTATTCTAATAATACACACTAAAAAACAAATATTTGACCTTTTTTGCTACAAATAACTAATTGGCTAATATTAGTAATATTTTTTTATAAATTGGCCAATTTATGTAATGAGCTACTTATAATTGAACATAGCTGGTAGTTTTCTTAAGAACAAACTCTTTCCGACCAATCAAATTGAAGTATGACAATGCCACATCTGATTGGCCATGATATGTCACTTGTACATGTGGCGCGATTTCACCGGCCTTTTAATCTGACTTGGCATGCTTTGTCATTTTGACACGTGGCACGATCCTATTTTCTCTTCCGTTTGACTTGGCGCGCCACATCATTTGACACGTGGCGCCAAACTAGGCCTCTAGGAAGATGACATATTGAGCCTAATGAAGTGGACTCATCATTTGTGGCCCAACTAAATATGCTAGCCTAGTCAATATTTATTGGACTTAAGTAATTAATCCAATTATATTAGCTCATAATATTTATTTAGACTAATATATTTAAAATATAGTCTAAATTATTTATTGAATTTAAATCCAATAAATTTTACATGACTACACGTACTATAAAAAACTACAGCAGATTTTGTTTTTTGGTTGGTGTTAAATTGGATGTATTATAAAAACTAGAACTTAATACATATATAGTTTGACTTTTCCGGAATACACAATCCCAATCATGTACATAGAAGATTGTTAAGTAGCTTTGATATTGTAAAAAATTTATTTGAATTATTAGTGTATTAAATTGAAACCCATATCTAGTACCAACCTACCCACTAAGCCCATCCCTTTTATGGCAGGCCAGAGATAAAAGGAAAATAAAATAGTACCTTCGAAAAATGTATAGGGATCACATATTGATTTTGCTACATGACTTGTCCCGGTTTAAGTAGGTGCAGCAGAACAAAGGAGTCAATGCTCGACGACTGGCATGCCAGCATTGTTCTCTGTATAAATAATTCATCAATGCTCGGTTTCTGAGGATTGCGAATAGTACACGTAAGTTTTGCCCATTTAATAGAATTTGTCAATAATTTAATAAGATAACTAAAATGAACATAGTATTTGCAGCACCTCAAAATATTTAAAGCCTAATAAGAGAAGTAGCAAGTGCTAACTATTTAGTTGTGTGTGCCAACTGGTCCCACGTTTATGAATAATACAGTTTGACGTTATAAAAATATTTAGGATTAGTTTGGTTCGAAGAGAAGAGATTAGTTATCCTCATATATTATTTTTTATTGACTGTTTGGTATGTTGTATTAATTTTGAGATTATCAATTTTACTGTTTTATCATAGGATAACTTATCTTAGAATTACTATTCTACTCTCTGGTAGGTAAACCTCTTCCACCAAGGAAGAGTAAAGCATCATAAGTACTCTAGTTAATCTTTATTTTACTAACTCTATTAATGTCAGTTTGTTCTCTTTTACACGTGACGCTCACATACTGAAGTTAAGCAAGAATTGAGATCAAAATAGCGAGACGTTTTGTGAGCAACTCCTGTGAGTTTCAAGAGTGCTAACCTGAAGCTACATGAACCAGATTGAAGAATCAGTTCCATGTGTCTGTCTTTAATTTTAGTTCAATTGTAGTAGGAGCTTTTGAGTTTTACCTTTCATCTTTTCTTATAATCATTTGTACTAGGTACTTGAGTTGTATTATTCAAGTTAGAGTTAATTTGAAGTAGTCGTAACAGCCTGTATGTTACGCAGCGCCTTCCTGAGATTCCCTGGAAGGGCGACATAAGGCTAAGCAACCAATGTCCGTGCAGTTACAATCCGCTAACTAGGGTCCCCTCCGTACGCGAGACGAGATTGTTAGTATCGTACGGGAAAACAAATGTCAAGAGCAATTGAGAGAACAGAAAAGAGAATTGAGAATGAAAGAAAGCTTGATTTTATTATTGAAAGCTATTACAGAAAAGTAATACGGTATCGAGGAGGAGATACACCAGTACAGAGAATTATTTCCTTGCTTGAGAGTTTTATTGTTTGATCCCCCTAATAATGCTTAGAAAAAATAAACCAAAGTTACAGGACTTGACATAACTAAGTTAGAAAGACATAATGGAAACACATGAAGGGTTATCGGTGGGGCGACATAGGCATAGGCGCGCTTGTCACTTGGAGCGGCCAAGACCTCAGGCCATCTATGGCACTAGGCATTGAGAGGCTTGTCAGGACGCCATGGGGCATGTCCAATGGGTCATGGGGCATGGCTGAAAAGCCACCCATGACAATTTCCCCCAACTGAGTGTGCGACGTCCTTGGTGCCTTACTTGCAAGATAATCTTCGATAAGGCTCTTGTAGGCTTTGAGGTTTGTTCTCCTCTCCCAAGTATTCTCCTTTGCATCACAGCCTACCATTTCACCAGGAACTCTAGGTGATCTTTCCTTGAAGTATGATTCACTCGATCATCAAGAATAGCTTCTAGCCGCCTTTTCCCGGTTAAATTAGGTCCTCAAATACTGGATATTAT